TTTTTTTGCAAAACAGGTTATGGCTAATACTGAACGTGTTATAAAACATGTTATCCAAGAAAAATTGGCATTCACATTGGTTGTCAATAAAGTGGACAGATTAATTTTAGAATTAAAGTTACCACCAAACGATGCATATTATAAATTAAAGCATACGATAGAAGAAGTTAATACTATTATTGGGTAAACATTTATTAGTCAAAAGTTATCAGAGATAAATATTTTTATATTCAAAATCTTTTGCAAAATTAGCCAATGCGCACCGGGACAGGATCTCCGTGTGTCTCCGGAACGCGGAAATGTCTGCTTCGCATCAAGCCAGATGGGATGGTGTTTCACTTTAAAGTCTTTCGCAAAATTGTATGCAGATTCACATGGTAAGCTAGATTTTTTGAATATATTCATCCTTACCAACTAATGAAAACCTAATTATCGCGTATTTCGATTAGGTGATTTAAACGCCGAAGAATTTGCAAAAAGACTATGGGGTGATATATACTTTAATCCTGCCAAACGTACTTTCAGTCGAAAGAGTTTAGAAAGCAAAAGTCAGCGGTCATTCGTTTATTTCATTCTGGAACCGTTATTTAAATTATACACACAAGTATGTCCCACATTTATGTATAATTTTTTTTTCTAACATATTATGGTGATGTGATGAATAATTGTAATTTTAGGTCATAGGTGAAAATGAGGCCACCTTGAAAAGAACCTTGGCTTCACTGGGCATCCATTTGAAGGCCTCTCATTTTCAATTAGATGTTAAACCTTTGTTACGAATAGTTCTAGATCAATTTTTTGGGCCGTCCACTGGTTTTGTTGAGATGGTAGTTCAGCACATTCCGTCTCCAGAGAAAAATGCCATAAATAAGGTATAGGCGCCATTGATGTTCGTATAATGTCGGGTGCCTTATTTTGCTTGCGTAATATTAAATATTTCTATACCAGGTGGAGCATATTTATACTGGGCCCATGGACACAAACGTAGCAGAAGCGATGCGCAAATGCGATTCAGACGGTCCATTGATGATTTACATTACAAAACTATATAATTCATCTGATGTATCAACCTTCGACGCATTTGGTCGAATAATGAGTGGTACTGTTAGAAAAGGTCAAACCGTGAGAGTACTTGGTGAAGGTTATTCAATCGAAGACGAAGAAGACATGACTATACAAGATGTTTCTAATGTGTGGATATTCGAATCTAGGTAGCGAATT